AAAAAAAAGCATAGTTTAACCAACATCAACGATTGGTGGTGCAACTTCATCCAGGATCAATTCCAGCTCAGTGGGGCTCAACGACTCGATCACTTTCGTCAGCAATTTGATGGCGATGTGGATTTTTGGTTCGCCAACATCCGATTTGATGATGGCAAGCAGCACTCGTCGACAAGTTGCGGATGAGACGTGTGTTGCCAGTACACCGCCACATTCTTCAGCTGCAGTCACAACCTCAAAAATATTTAGGATGGTGAAAATTACCTGTGTGATTATTACCTTTCACTTGCAGATATACTCGTGGTGCACCTCAAAATTACTAACGTTTGAACAATTTTTAACTGAACTAATACATTAAACTAGTAATATATCGTTAATTGATCATCACTAACGTTCTAATTGAATGAACACTAGGATGAAATAGTACACAGCGTCAAAAATAAGACTTTGTTAAACAAATTCTAAAGATTCAATGCGACTTACAAGTTTTGATTCATCAGTGCACGAGTCCAGAACCCGCATTAGTGCCATTTCAGCAAATTCATTAAAACGTGACGCTTGTGCAAAGCTGCAAAAACTTTTAGTAGCACTCATTAAAAATCGTAAAAAAAACCACTTAACGCGACCAATCAATTGAAGAGAAGGGAAAAGGGCATAACGAACCAAATTTCTTTGAGAAGTTTCAGTGCCATTCGGCGAATATCCACATCATTATCCTTCAGCGTTTCGATGAGCAACAAAAATATCATTTTGAAATGTTTGTCCCAAAGGGAGAATAAATTATCGCGTGTAATCTGTGATAGCACCGACATCGCTCGCAGGCGCTCCTCACTTCTGCAAGCAAGCCCAATTTATATACTTCATTCGCGAAAAATAAATTCAAACCTTGGAAACTTGAAAGATTTGCCTCAATTTTCATGAAAGATTGACCCCATTTGTAAAACTGTATCTTATTTCATGAAAAATTATAGAAAAGATATAACTGACATGTGAGAAAAACAAAAATTTAAAAAAACCCTCCATAAATGAAACAGGAAATGTAATGATATTTTAAACAATGCATATTCAATTTACGAGCGTACGACACTCATTATCACAGCAATCAGCGACACTGATATAATCAGTGCTGTTGTCAGTATATAAAATGCAGTCAAATGATGTGTTA